ATATATCTGCTCTGCTGGTTCATCTGAAATTCTTTCATCGCTCTGGCGTCTTCTCACAGTCAGTACAGTTTTCCTTCATCCCGTCCACCTCTTAATGGGAAACTTCATGGAGCATTTTAAGCTCATTCTGGCAGTAACCTTGTTTTGGACCAGGATCCTGTCCAGAACCCTGTAGAACTGAGTCCTGAAGGAGTCCAGCAGGAACCTGTGGCTCCTGTTAGCTGAAAGGCAGCATCCAGATTGTTATGTAGCCTGAACTGAAGAATATTTGGCTGGATGCAGATAAATGAAGCAGGGAGTCGAAGAATCAGGAGGGTTTGCTCTCGCTTTGGCCCAGATGTTGTAAAACTGAGAAAACTTCAACAGGTCCAACACAGAGGAGAGGCTCAGATGTCCCAACATCTCAGATCCTCAGTTTGGGGTCATGACCTCTGCAGATCAGATCGACTGCTTGGCTTCCTGTTTCAGAGCCGATTTCTCTGATCCCACTTAGTCTGGAGGCAGAACTGATGGCTGCCTGTGTTAAAGCGCCACCTTGTGGTGAGTTGGGCTCTTGTTCACCATCTCCAGTCCTCCAGGGAAAACATCCTGCAGCTTTTAGATGCATCTCTCCTCACACACACCTGGATCAGATAACCTGCTGGTTACCAGCCGGTTGCAGAGCTGAATGAATGCTGGGAATTCAGACGTGTTGGAGCAGAGCTGCATCGAAACGTTGCAGGATGTTTTCCCTGGAGGACTGAAGTTGGTGACTCCTGCAGAGCTGATGAAAAACCTTCCTGTCATCCGAACGGAATATCTAGATTGTATTCTGAAGTGTTTAGAGTCGAGTTGCTAAAATAAAGCCTTTCATCAGAATCAGTTGCTCCAGTTGTTCATCGTCGCTCTGATTACTGAGCAGCTTTCTGTCATTCACCTCACTGCTCATGTAGAGCAGAGCGGAAAAGTTAATGTGTAAAGTTCAGTAAACAAAACTGGAGTGTTCTTTATTGTGAATGAAAGAAAAAATAGTTAATGGAAAATGTAGACTGAAGAAATGTAAGAATAGAAGAAGAAATGAAAACAGAACTTAAAGAAATAGTCAAGCTCAGACTTTTCATGGAAGCAGGAGTAACCTGAGACATGAGGAGGACTACTGGCACAAACTGGCACAAACTGGCACAAACTGGCACAACGCAGCAAAGACCAATTATTTAGTTATTTTTAATTTGTTGGTTAAATATTTTTAGGCAGATCCTGTCCTATACACTCCGGTGCAGCAGGCGGCGGTATGCACCTCAAGGCGGCATTCTGGTCCACTATTAAACACAAAGAAGCTGCCGAAGACGAAGAAGATGGAGAAGAAGGAGAAGAAGGAGCGCCGTCCTTCGTGTTTTCTCGGGTTTTTGTCCACGGAGCAGCGGCGGGAGAGTTAATAAAGCTGTAAGACAGAAACGACAGCAGTTGGTGAACTCTGGAAAGAAGAGAAACGGTTTGAGGCTCAGCTGGAACTGCTCAGTAACTGTTAAAGGAAAGTTTAGAGAGAGAAAAGCTAGCAGAGATGTGGAGACAGCAGGTCAAACAGCGACTGGATGCAGCAGAGGAGCAGAGACACGAAATACTGGATGCTGCTTTCAGCCCCGAACATCCCGGTTGGTGTCTTTTCTTTCCCATTATCAGCAGTGGACTGGGTGAACTGGTCTAGTCTGGGACCGTGTCTGCAAAGCTCGGAGGTCTCATGCTGCTGTTCAGCAGCTGCTAGCTGCGGACAGCAGGCTAGAGCCGCACGAGCGTCCGAGCAGCAGGTCAACGTTGCCGCCATGTTGTGAGTGGCAGGTTGGACACCACCAGAAGAAGTTTGTGTCCAACCTCTTCTGTAGATCTTTTAACATAAAATCGGCTTCAGCCCACTTACATTCCAGATATCTGAAATTAGATTGACTGGATATATTATTAGTTAATTAAGATGCATATAAAAATATATTATCTAGGAAAATTATAACTAATTACGTAAATGCTAAATTACATTAGATTTACCGTTAAGTTAAATCTAACTTAAAAGTTAGATTAAGTTAACTGTTAAGTTAGATTACAATCAAAAGTTGTACGGAGACTTTTGATTCAGGAGGGGAGCATTTAGAAAATGACGCCATTCAAGACATTTTGATGTAAATACCAGCAGAAGACAGAAACCAGACTGAAATATATCTTGGTTATTATGACAGGCAGCGCAGAAGCTCCACCCACAAACACACTGCACTGTGTGGCACCAAGGGACACAAAAAAGAAATCAGGTTTAATCATAGCTTGAGACAAGCAGAGCGGAGGTGGTTCTGCTCTGTGGTACTCAGTGTAAATGGACCTGCTTTATGTATTGATTCATTTTTTTCAGTGAAGTTTAGAAACATTAGTCTGCATCTGTGCTTAGGGAACCCAAACTGCAACGGCCTGATGGCAGGCAGGTGTTTTCATGGTGTTGCTCCTGTGTTCCAGTGTTCCCTGAAGATGTTCAGCAGCTGCTGGTTAAAGAAGAACAGAGTCCTGACCTGGACCCAGAGGACCCGCTGCCCGTCCACGTAAAGGAGGAGGAGGAGGAGCGCTGGATCGGTCCGGAGGAAGACAACCTGGATGACGCCACCAGGTTTCCAGTCATCAAAGTTATCGTTAAGAGTGAGGATGAGGAAGATGAGCTTCTGTTGTCACGGCTTCATGAAGACCAGATGGAGAACGGAGACGTTCCCAGCAGCAGCTCAGCGGAGCAGATGAAAGCAGAGACGGATGAAGAGGATGGTGAAGGAGCAGAATCCAGCAGGATTCATGCCGACTCCTCCAACTCTTCAGAGACTGAGGTCAGCGATGAAGAGGATGATGGTGAGGCGCATCCTGACTCCCAGATGAGCCTCCTGTCAGACATTGGTTCTGAAACCACGGACATGAGCAAAGAGTGGAAGGAGAGCGGCGCTCCAGAGTCCCGGAGTGGAAGCGCCATGACAGTGAAGTGTTTCATCTGTGATGACTGTGGGAAAACCTTTAAAAAGAAACATTACCTCAACGAGCACATCAGGAGCCACACAGGGGAGAGACCGTTTGGCTGTCCCGTCTGCGGACAGCGGTTCAGTCTGAAGAAATGTCTGAACGTTCACGTGAGGAACCACTCTGGGGAGAAACCGTTCTGTTGTGACGTCTGTGGACAGAGGTTCAGCCTGAAGAGAACGCTGAACGATCACCAGAGAATCCACACGGGGGAGAAACCATTCAGTTGTGATGTTTGTGGGCAGAGCTTCAGCCTGAAGAAGACTTTAAATGACCACCAGAGAATCCACACGGGGCAGAAACCGTTCAGCTGCGACGTCTGCGGGCAGACCTTCAGCCTGAAGACCACTTTAAACAGACACATCCAGATCCACACTGGACAGAAGGCGTTTCGCTGTGACCTCTGTGGACAGAGGTTCAGACAGAAATCCACTTTGAACCGACACATGACGATCCACACAGGACAGGAAACCTATCCCTGTGAGGTCTGTGAACAGAAATTTGAGCGAAAGACGCATCTAAACATTCACATGAGAGTCCATGCAGGGCAGCAGGCGTTCTGCTGCGATGTCTGCGGACAGAGGTTTGACCGCAAGTCCAACCTGAACATCCACCAGAGGATCCACACCGGACAGAAACCGTACTGCTGCGGCTTCTGTGGCCAAAGGTTTGGCAGGAAGTCCAATTTGAACAGACACATGAGGATCCACACAGGGGAGAAATCCTTCTGCTGTGAGTTCTGCGAACAAAGGTTCAGCCTGAAGACGAGTTTAAACGACCACCTGAGGATCCACACGGGAGAGAAACCTTTCTTCTGTGACGTCTGTGGTCAGAGATTCCGACAAAAGTCGACTTTAAATATTCACATGAAGATCCACACCAGGCAGAAGTAAAGTTCTGCTTGAATCATCCAGCTGACGGGCAGAGCTGCTCACAGCCAGAGGTTCTCCTGGTGTGGGAACGCTCCGCCCTCCAGGTCCGGCATCCTGTGGGTTCCTGTTCCTTCCCTGGTTTCTCACAGCTGAATCAAGTGATGGTTCATCAGCAGAACCTCAGAGGTCGTTGAACCGTTTCAGCTACTGGTTGGAGCAGAAACACGTAAAACCCAGAGGACACCCTACGGTCCTACAACACATGATTCTTTATTGTCCAGCTGCAGAGGAATATTTATATTCTGATATAATCGTCTAGCTGTTGATAGCCATCGTGAAGAAGTTCCCACAGAGTTTGTGGGAACTTCATGTCCTTTCATTTCAACATGTCTTCATTTCCAAAACCCTCTGGAGTCTCAACCGTCGGGTTTTTCTGCAGAACATGCAGAGAAAAAATTTTCACTAAAAGCTTAAACTATGAATGTGACGTTGTGTGTTTGTAAGTTTCTTATCTTTGCTCATGAATGAATCTCTGGTGCATGAAATGGTTTTGCCAAAGTCTTAGTTTACGAAAAGTAAAACAATAAATTCTGTCAAGGAAAACTAACCGTCCAGAAAGAAAGTTAATAATTACGTTTGTTCTCATTCTGTTTTCTGAAGACAATAGTAAAGGAGCTGAACTATCTGAGTGAATAAATCTGTTCTGTAATGGAGTTCTGGGTTTTGTCTTTGGTTTTGGTTTAGCTGGACTGGTCCAGTTGAGAGGGAGTGATAATTAACCAGCAGAACTGTCAGGTGATCATCCAAGTTGTTTAACTGTCAGTAATGATCTGCTAACCAAACGATGAAACTGGTCAGAACCAAAGCAGAAGCAGCAACATGGCAGCAGGACGGTCCTCCTCCCATGGTCCCTGAGTTTTTGCATCATCATCATCATCATCCTCCATGTTTTCAAATATTCTGCTTACTGACCAACACTGGGGGTTGAGGAAGCTAACTGTTGGTTAGCTAGGCTATCTACTCCACTATCACCTCAATAACAGATGCCTCAACTCCACTGAGCGACAGGTTGGGTCGGTATAATATTTTAGGGCAGGGGTCCCCAAACTACGGCCCGCGGGCCGGATTCGGCCCGCCTCCACATTTGGTCC